AGCTATCAGTTCCTTTTCAGCAGTTTCAAGTAGTTGAGTGATTTATTTAATTATCTTCTCTCTTGATACGTCCACAGCTAAAATAGTAATCAGTATTACTAATTATTTCCATTCCTCTCTCATACAGGTGAGGACCAAGATTTTAGGTAAATTGCCAGAAGATACCAAAGGTCCTTTAACTAAACTGCATGCTTCTCTGAATGGCAAGGTAAAGCGTTCCAGAATCTTTGAGTTCAGGTTCTGGTGATGTGCTAATAAACAGCTGTAATGCATGGTATGGTATTGCCCTGCATGTGGCAGGGGGTTGGAGATTCATGATCCTTGAGGTCCCTTCCAACCCGGGTGATTCTGTGATTACGTACTGTACAGAATCACAGAATGGCCAGGGTTGGAAGGGACCTCAAGGATCATGTAGTTCCAACCCTCCTGCCTAGCAGGGACAAAACACACACATTTAGATCAGGTTGCCCAGGACCCCGTCCAACCTGGCCTTGAACACATCCAAGGACGGGGCATCCACAACCTCGCTGGGCAGCCCGTTCCAGGGCCTAACCACTCTCCTTGTAAAGAACTTCCCCCTAACATCCAACCTAAATCTTCCCTCCTTCAACTTGGATCCATTTCCCCTAGTCCTGCTGTTGTCAGCCCTTTTGAAGAGTTTACTCCCCTCCTGGGTGTAGGTTCCCTTCAGGTATTGATAGGCTGCAATGAGGTCACCCATAACTGCTGCTGCAGTGAGAACTGAAGACATCTTTTGAATTTGTCTAAGCCAAAGTACTTCTTTATATTTGAATTTTAACAGGTGACATTTGATCTAACATTAAAACTGGTAGTTAGCTAGCAGTTTGCTTCCAGGTGGAATCTAGTGTATCTTTTATTTGTAAATGAGAAAAACAAAATCTGAAAGATAATCTGCGGTATAGTGGTTGTTGCTTCTTGTAATTGAAAGATTGTTTTCTCCTGTATTCTTTAACAAGTATTCTTTAGTATTTAAAAAAAAAAATACACAACAGATAATGGCAGTGAAGTATAAATGAATGTGATTTATTACTTCTTATGTGCAAGATGCCTTACTGTGTGTTTCTTCAGAAGAAAAATCTGTAAGGAGTTGCAAAATTTGTTTCTTTTTAGTATTTCACTTTCAGACCTGATGTCTTATACTATAGTTTGCATGTTTAAATATATGAACTGTTGGAAGATGAAAAAAATGTTTGTTAAAATTGTTGGGTTTTTTTCTGTAGTTCACTCCAGTTGTATTTGGGATGAATAGCTGTGAACAGTAATTACCTCATTTTGTAGCCTGTTAACACAGATTCTTATATCTGTTATTTTTCAATAGAGTTTAGAAGATTTCCTCTCATACCTTGATACTGCAGCAGACATTTGTGATATTATGGTGAAAAAAGGCGACAAAAAGAAGGAAAGGTACCTTAATTGTGTTTATTCTGTGTACACTATGTGAAAATTAGCTCTGTTGCTGCACAAATGTCAGTTGATTCATTTGCTAGCAGTCACATCGATTGTGCAAGTACGAGTCAGTTGTTCTTTCCAAACTGTTTATCTGAAAAATACAAAGGTGGGCAGTCCTAATTTTGTGGGAGAAGGCAGACAGAAGGGTTTGTATTTAGCTAATTTGACTGACTGATTACATTTAAGTTTGCTAGGGTGGTTTGCAGTATCTGAGCTCCACCAGTGCTTCCATTTTTGGTTTTTGTGTTTTTTTTGTTTTCCCTTTTGATAAGGAATATCACAAATATCACATCAAGAATCGGTCAGTCAGAGAAGAAAATAGCATTCTTAATGTCAGATATGTTTTAGAGTCTATTATGAATTATGACAGAATGGGAAACAGATTTTACTGTAATCTATTCTTGTTCCTTAGGCAAGTCCTGTTTCAACATAGACAAGCTCTGATTGAACAGCTGAAAGTAACAGAAGATCCAGCTCTTGTTCTGCACCTGACATCAGTACTGTTATTTCAGTTTTCAACCCACTGTATGCTTCATGCACCGGGAAGATCTGTACCACAGATCATTAATTTCTTAAGCAGCAAGATCCCAGAGGTATTCCTTTCTGGCCTTATTGCATGAAAGCACTTTTTTTCCTATGACCAAGTGGAATTATAGTAATGCTGCTACATGAGACGGGCATCCTGGTGTTTCATGTCTAATCACTACCATATGTGCAGAGTATGTCATTTGCCTGATCTATAATGTATTTTAAGTCTATTTTCAATATTTCTAATAAAGTCCATCTGTCATTAGTACATCAGTACTGAAGCTTTTGCCTTTACCTGCAGCTAGCTGCATACTGTGGGGTGTTAAAAATCACTGACAATTCTTGCAACTCTCTCTTTTCTCCTAGCTAGAGTATGAACGCTTTGAACTTTTCTAATTCAGTTTGAGAAAAGAGGTACCTCTCCAAAAATTGAAATGTTCAAATTCTGTATCCAATCTGCCAAAACTGATTATTTTTACTGACTACATTGCTTTATTGTTTCAGTTAATTGTCCTGTTTCCTGCTGCATGGGTGCACTTTTCATTTTTCCCCCTCTCTGACTGTTTCTCAGAATTTAGGTTGCAAAACACTTCGATGGAAATATATTTGCCTATCAGTTTCCTCTTCAGACAAGAATGGGAAGATGTTTTTTTTTAACATTTACTCTTCAGTCAATTAAAGGTCTGTGTTATCTTTTCTATTACATTGACTTTTTGTTCTGTTTTGTTTTTTCCCCTCAGGATCAGCATTCTCTGTTAATCAAATACCAGGGATTAGTAGTGAAACAGTTGATCAGTCAGTCTAAGAAGGCAGAACAGGAGGATGACAATAAAACAGAGGAAGAAGGAGCAGATACCATTCGGAAGGAGCTCCAGGAAATCACTACCTCTGTCAAAGATCTTGTTCTCAGACCTAGAAAATCTTCTGTAACAGAGGAATAAAATGAGTACTGAGTGTGTCCATCATACAGCTTGAAAATGCTTGAAAAGCTTTAATTAATATTTGGCTTCTATTAAATGACAGCCAAGGAGCACATCATCATGTAATGGTGACAAATGGAGTTTTGTTTATCTACTACTCCATCATACACGTAAGATGTATATGCATATAAGATATTAATACATTGGGTGAGGAGGATGCTTTGGGTATAAAATTGGTGGTTTTGTTTTAATTTGCAACTTCACTTGCAGACTCAAGAAATGCTTTCTCTTGTGATAACACTGTATTCTGTTACATGCACTTGTTTATAGATTTGCTCTTCTGATTTGGATTTGTCATGGTGTAAGGGTTGCATTTAAGTGTGCATAAGAATATATCTTAATTTTGAAGACTAGGTTTGAAATAATAATTCTTATAAATAGTATACAAACAGAAGCCCATTTTTACATTTTGATAGAATTAGTGGATGTTTTCTACTAAAGAGTGAAACCATCAGGTACAGGGTCATATTCCTAAACTTGAAAGAAGTGATCCAATATTTATGTGAGTCTCTAAATATACTGAAATCTTTTGAAAATCAGCACACCCATGCTATTTATGTGTATTCTATTAATGGCAGTAATGGCAGCTCATTTAAAACTAATTTAATTGGGACAGAGGAGGTGTAATCCTTTTGTATGGGTAATTTGAGGATGGGTAAATACTGTTTCACTTGCCATAATTAACATTCTATGTGTTCATTCAGCAGTCTTGTTGAATGCTCTGTCCAGTTCCCTTAGCTGTACCAAGCACCTGCTTGCATTCTATCTGCTGCTTTGAGGGAACTTCTGATGTTCTGTTTACCCCAAGTTTTTTGGAAAAGAATTTAAATATTAACATTTAAGATCTTTCTACATAAATTTTATAGACTGTTTGTCTAATCTGAAATAGCTAAATGTTGAATGTTCCCTCAAGTTTTTTACTTGCCTTGTTTCCACAAGGACTTTGTCTTGAGGAAGGTAAAAAATACGTAAAATAAAATCTTTTGAGTTCTGCCACTGTTATTGACATAATTATTGTATGTCGAATGCACTTCTGACTTGTGTTTAAGAGAAGGTAGTTTTCAAACCAGAAATGTTTTAGTTGTATCAGATCCTTCTTGACCTTGCATTACTTCAGTAATGCCCATTGATTTCATGCAAGACAAGAAATCTGAAAATGCCATTCACCCATTTTTGCCAAAATTCTTTGATGTTGAAAGGAAGCAAATAGGTTCTATGCAAGTTCTGCTTTGTTTAAATATATTTTTTATTGTTATTATTTTTTAAAATATTTGTTTCCCAGCATTTAGTCTGTCCTATGTGGTTGATCAAAAGTATCTGCTAGCTTGGAAAAAAAAAGAAAAAAAAAAAAGTTGGTGAGGCCCAGTATGAAAACTCAGTAATGGATGAACTGTGATGGATTTTAACCATACATAAAGGTACCTAATGTTTAACAATATTCCCTTCATAATTCTGGTCTGTTACACATTGTAAGGCAAAAACTGTGCCAGAAAGAATAGAGCTAAGGCAGAATCAAAGATAGTTTTTCTCTTTGACTGAAGGATACCTTTGTGAACACTGAAGAGTAAGATGAAAAATACTCTATTTACCTTTGTTTAAGAAAGAATTTGCATATGGAGAATAGGTTTGGTTTGCTGTTACTTGGCCAGAATAATCACTGTGCTCTACAGTGAACATAAACAATTTTGTAAGACATGAATCTATTTTGTAAATAATATGCTATGTGATATTCTGTATGCAAATGTGAAATTATTTTAATAAAATTAAATGATGAGGTATTTAAAATGCAATATTGACTTAAGCAGTGATTGTTAGACTTGCAATGTACAGCTTCCAAAAGGTTTTATGCACTTTTTGATTTAACATGTTGTTTTGAGTTCCTATATTATAATATATAATATAATAATATAATATTCCTATATTATATATGTTCCTATATTTTTGATTGATTTACATTTACATTTTGATTTTGATTTACATATTATAAGAATAACTTACACAATCTACTATATCGTGCATCACAGTTGCTATATGGTAGCCATTATTATAAGAATGATAAAAATATATGTATCATTCTAATTAGATAAGAAAGATACACTAGAATTCAGAGATACCTTCTGGCTACTAAGAATTCTAGTAGATAAAGGTAGGAAAACCTTCCCAGATATTTTTTTCACTCTCAAATGTGAAAAATCAGTCTTCAGTTCATCAGATGGGAGTATCTTGAGAGAGAAAGAAAAGGAATATTCACAATTTTCTGATTATTACCCATGAGAAATGTTTTGGAGAGTAAGAGTACTCTCGTCTTAGAAATCAGAGGTTCCATTCACAAAACAGAATCAATTATTGGCATAGCTAGGAAAATGAAAGGTATCATGCAGTATGTAAATCAGTGCTGTTAATTTGGCTTTAAGTAGTAAGTGTGATCTTGTGTCCTACACCTGCAGTCTTTAAGCAGCACCATTATAAAGCTTCTAAAAGCTGATGTGAATATATATAAACAGGCTTCTCAATCTCATCTACCTCTACAGTCAGCAAATTAAAATTGATTTTTTTAACTGTAAGTAGTAAAAAATTTCAGCATCCTTTTTTTTCCCCCGGTTTTAAGTGGCAAAATCTGACTTTTGTCGCCTGCTGGAAATAAGCAAACTGTTGCTCTACTAGATCTTACAGCCTTCTTTCCAGTTCTGTTCTGCAACTTCTTAAACAACAAAAACAGACAAACAGAAGTCCTCAAGTTTTCAAGTGATAGCACTGGGATTTGATGTCTGAAAGAATCTTTCTTAACAGCTTGCTTAGATGAAGCTACAGGCTCTGCAGGCTCTTGAGTAAGCTCCTTAAGAAATGGTTGCTCCTTGATTTTATTTTTTTGGGGGGGGGAATGGGAAGTTTAGTACTCGTACAGAAAACACAAAAGGCAGATCGAATGTGTACCCCAGGATCATTTCTCCAGCGGTGGCCAAAAGTGAGTGCCTGGGGAGGAACAGAAGAATGAGGCACTCCTTGATTTTTCCCGAGTGCTTTTGGAGCCCCCAGATATGTGCTACTCAAACATTCTGAATCGTGGCAAAAAATAGCAGATAGTAATGGTCAGGAGCTTTTGGGTAAACAGGATACTGGTGCACAGGATTCTTTCTCTGCTGACCCAGGTAACAACATGTTCAGTAAATGGCAAAGATGTTTTCTGAGGAAAGCAACAAATTGGTCGTGTTTTTAATAGGAATGTTAAATATTTAAGCAAGGAAGGACACCTTATTTAAAATAAATAAATAAATAAGTAGAAAATTAAAAAAGTGAAGTGAGATGGGAAGAGAATTTGAGAAGTTTAAAGAGAAACACCATTTGTTTTGTCAACTTCCAAATCAGTGTGAAAAGGAAGCTAGGTCAAGACAGGTCACATCTGGGCTCAGACTAAGAAAGCTGCTTTCTATTTCGGGAAGTTCAGGAGGAGATGAGAGACATCATCTAATTATGAAATGAAGCAGCAGAATTTGTGTTGTATTCAGTGTGCATCTTTTGGCAAAAATACTTTAAAACACTTCCCCTGACACGTGTTCTATTAACATATTTTTCTGCAGCTAGAAAAGTATGGAAAGGATCATCTTTGAAGTTAAAGGCAGGTAATGGCTAAAGGATGTTCCTGTGCTTTTCATCCTTTTTGGAAAGAACATACTGTGTTGAAGCTATTTCTGAGTGTCATTAACTTTTTTTGACAGATCAGTTTGGATAATATTTGCTTGCTCTGACTGTGGGCTTCACAAGGTATTTGATCAACAATTGTGCTTTCAGCTTTTTTTTTCTTTCTGGAAGTAAAGGCAAAACGATGATTCACTTTCTGGACTCATGTTTGGACCTAACTTGTCTTCTTTCCCAATCCATGAAAATAGCAAGCTTAAAAAATCAGCATTTAAAGCATTTGGCATAAACAAAGCTTATAGTTTGTACGGAGATATGAGAAAAGAGTTCAATCTAGTTTGGGTAGAAAACAAAGTGTGTGCAGAGGTTTAATAAACCAGTCAGCTGCTGGAATAGAGATGATGAATTCTTGGCAATAGCAATCAAATGATCAGTCTTAATTGCAAGATACTGCCCAGACACAGAACCACCAGAACACATTGTCCAGATTTGCCAAAATCTTCGTATGTTTGAAATGTTTCCTGTCTTCTGCCTGTGGTACAAAGCAGTTCCCACCCACTTGACGTTGTAGGCTAAATGATTTACATGCATTGGCTGTTGGTGGTGGAACAATCTGCCTGGACGTTAAAGCAGTTCATAGGACGAGAGGCCATCCTTGTTTGTTTTTTTTTTTTCACTGCTTAATTTCAGCCTACTCCTTTAAATGGGTGCAATATTCTTTCTCTTAGCTAAAATTGGTTAGAGAGTCTTATGCAAAATATATGCTCTGTGTACTTCATGTATGTGGTGGAATGCCTGCGAAAGCTATCTGGTCCCTCTGTCTGAACAGCAAGAGATGACTCTGATTTGAAGTAGGCCAGAACTGAGGGATGTTGAGGCAGAACCTGGATGGGGCTGTTAACACTACAGATGGTAATGCCTTACAAGCCACTTCCTGTGTAGTGGAAGGGAGGCAAGTTGTTCCAGCCCAGAAATTGCTTTAGTAGTGTCAGAGGAATTCAGCCCAGTCCCCAGAAGTCTTTCCTTTAATTGGAGAAGTCTTACTCCTGCCCACCCACCCCCATTTCCTGTGCGCAACAGTCATAGGTTAGTAATCACGACTTTTTCCCTTCTCTGAATTACAAGCCCAAGTGAAGTCCTTTGGATTCCTTCTTTGTGGGCCACAGTGTAGCTGGGGATGAATGGTGATCCGTTTTATTTTTTCTATCTACAGAACGGTTTAAGGGTTTTGATTCTTGAGTTTTTAGCAGACATACCTTTTTCTTCTTGACAACTGGCTGAAGTACGTTCCTTTAAGATCCTCCTACACGGTATGTGTTTGCGATTTGTAAATGCACTATGTCAAAAAATGATTCAGTGGTGAGGCAGCGAGCTATTTGCATGTCATGAGGTCTCAGGGAAACAAACTGACCCTCAGCCTTCTTCTATCCAGCCAAATTCTGATGGGACCCTCAAATAGCTCTGGCAAAGTGTTCTGTTTCTTTTGGATTTGATGAATGCTTGTTTCTGTGAAGCCGTGTAATTATTTCTTCCTCTATTTCGCTGCAGAAGTTACCAGGAGAAGCAGAATAAAACCAAATGTGAGTATTGAAGCTTAATTTCCTTACTCCCTTTATGTGATAGAACTGCAAATTTGAATGGCTACTGCTTCTTTAAATTATATGCAGAGCTATGCATATATAAGAAATGTTTGACTTTATGACTCAGAAGAGAAAGCACGCTTTTTCAGATGAAATAGTTTTTGTTTTATGAACTGGCTCGCTCATTAATGTGGGAGATGTTGTTTGTTGTTTCCTTTGTCGTGAGATGGGAGTTAATTCTGTTTACTCCAAAGAACAAGCCAAGAAAATTGAATATACTGTTTCCTGTGGCATTTGAATCATTTTTATCTTTTAGCAAACGTTCATAGCTATTTGCTATCACAAGAGAAGTTGCAAAGTAGTACCTTTTAAAATCAAATTGCAAATGTTTAAAGTAGTGCCTGGTAAGTCACAAATAACATCATTGCCTAACATGGAGCGTTCTTGGTCTTTCTTTGAAGTAAAACCAGTTTCCAAGCTGGTGTTTCTATCAATATTTAATCTTGTTGTGGAAATCATGTAGCATCTCAAAATTCTGTAAATTCTGTATCAGTAAGACATTTTCTTTTTTGTGTCACATTTTTATGATATAATCTTGGTTTGGAATTTAAAGAGGAAGAGAATTGAAAGGCTATATTGCTGCCTACTGAAATGTTGCTGGAAATGTGTGCATGTATTATAGAATTAAAAAAGGAATATGGGTAATAAGGATTATTTAAAGACTACATGTATTAATTGTACGGATACTTGATTTCACAACAGCAATCTTTTTAATAAAGATTAAATTTGGAGGAAACTATCAGATATTACTTCCATTTTGGTAGTGGAATGTTGAAAATATTTTTGTCAGAAGATCTGTTTTTACACTTAGAGCTGGATACAAACTCTCTCATATTTAGAAAATAAGTTTCAGATGCTTTTGTTGTGTTTAATATTTTTCTTCCATAAACAGCTGACATTTCTAAAGTGTTTTAACAGAACAGGACAGATTTGATGTATTGATGTTACAACAGATTGTTGATGGACTTGCTATGCATTTGATTGCAGTATCACAAAAGTCACTTTGATTCACACTTGTGTACTTGGTAGAAACTTGAGGTGACATACTAACCTTCTTGCAACATTAGAGCCGAATGAAAGCAAAAGCTGCTTGAAAAAGATTCTGATCTATTGTGACCAGTGGTATCTCCAGGTTATTTGCAGGCAATCACATTTTGCTAAGCGTGTTTTGTTGACTTGGAAAGAAGTAAGTTCTGCCATAAACCAATAAGCCCAGCTTTCTACATATCTTTTTTACCATGCCTGAGTTTTACTTCTCAAAAATGTTTAAAACTTTCCATACTGCCTTACCATGAACAGACAGAAGCGTGAAAATCTTCACCAGCACGCTTCCTAATGCCTGGGCTAGAATCAGAAGGTAAAACCCTGACCCTGCTCAGATGAGCAGTACTCCTCTCAGCTAAACAATCTCTGGACTCTGTCAGACTTTTATATTGCCTAAGGAGTAAAACTGACCTAAGTTTTTCTTCATGTTTTTCTGCCAGATAAGAGTAAGATGATGTCTTATGTCTAATTCTAGGATGTTTATGATGTTTATGATTTCCAGCTCAGCAATTCTATTCAAATCTCTAGAGACAAAGTTGGGGAATTGGAATAAGGAAATGCTGCTGGTATTCCATTTGTGGTCCTGCAGTGGGGATCTTCTGGGAATCTCCTAGTTTTAGTTAAGAGGCTGTGAGCTTCTCATTTTATACATTTATATTTTCCAGTAAAGTGTAAGAGGAATGAAGTAAGGATAGATTTGTAGAAATACATAGACATTACTCCAAAAACAATGAACTGATATCTAAAAATAATTTCATAAAATCCCATGACATAAAAAACCCCGTGACATAAAATTCTGTAACAGAGATGCAGTGAGGGACAAATTACTACAAAGACTAACTTACCTCCCTTGGTTGCCTCCATGATAATGACTAAATTAAGTTTCTGCTAGGAATCACCCTGGAGAGGAATTTTTCTCACTCCCTTAACGATAAAAAGTGACTTGTGAGTTAGCCTCTATGGACTTAGGTTAGGTTTTGTAATATCCCTGTTCTCCTGATATTGAACCATATATATATCAGCTGTTATCCCCTCCAGTTTCCCTTTCTCACATTAAGAGGGTTTATTTTTTTATTTTACTTCACTTCTTCCGTAACATCAGGTTACTTTCCCTCTCAGCCATGTTTGCCTTCAAGTTTGAATTTGTTCTAAGTCCGTATATTAGGACTGGTAAATCCTTGCAACATATTCCAGATAAGGCAGCCTTTTCAGATCCCTTAAGTCATAGCTGGCATGGGAGGCTGACCACCTGGCAACTTTCATGTAGTGTTTTCAGCATCCCAGGCCAGGGCCATGACTACACCCTGACAACCAGATTTGCCTTGTGGCAAAGCTATGAAGACTGGCTGCACGCCTTCCCATACCTGCAGGTCTGCTCTCTGACCTTGAGCAAGTCTCACAGCTGTGTTTTAGGGTTACCTTTTTATCATTAGAAAAGCATTCTGAAGTCTTTGAAAAGATTGAAAAATGTCAGAGAATTAAGTTATTGTTCTATTGGTCAGAAGCCCACAGCAGTGTTAGGTTATACATGCATATATGAGGAGATGAGTCTTTCACAAGTGACCTCTGCAATTTCTAATTCAGCCACACCATAATTCAGTTATGTGTTATAACACATGAAATTGTTGCACAATTAGAGCTGTGTAAATGTCTGGATTGAGGATGCCATTTGCATGCATAAAAAGGGAGAAGATTAGAGGAAAACTGTCTTTGTTTAATTTTGTGTTTGGAAATGAAGAGCATTAAGAAACATTTCAAATTAAAAGCTAAAGCTGTTCTTTTTAAATGCAGCAACAGAATTTTTTGATGCATCTATTCGCTGGCTTTCACTTTTTACTGAAAACATTTACGAAGTTTACTGTAAGTTAAAGAAAAGCAATTGAATTTATATTTGTTCCTTAAAGATTTCTGCTGCTTTTCACCACTCTGCTCTCTTAGAGCTGTCTTATTCCCCATCGCTGGTTGGTTACAGATTCTGAGCATCGTACCCTATTGAAACTGGTGATTTCTGTTCCTACTTTGCTAGGATAGTTGCTTTGCTACTGCTGAGTATCAGGCTTCATGTTGTCACATAAATATCTTCTGTGGACTCATTGTTCCACAGCATCCTTGAGTTAAATTGCATGTTCTTAAAATGTTCCGAAATGTTAGAGAGGAATTTCTTCATTTTTAACAAATTTCCTCCAGCATTCAGAGAAATAAGTGAGCTTTTATTCCTAATGATTTGAGTCAAATGCTGACTGTCTGAGGTGTTCTGATAATTTTTAGCTTTAATTTTCCTTCAGTCAATATAGGGCAATCCCTTAGTGGATTCAGAATTTGGATAGAATGTATTTATAACCATAGAAAAAAAATATGAAAGTCATAGTGCCAAATAAACGAAATAAAAAATCTTTTCACATGCCAGAACATTACAAAAATCCCAGCAGAGCAGTAACTGAAAGGTCAATAACCTCACTTCATAATAAAGAAAGACAGAATACCAAGATCTATTCATTTCAGGGTCTAATTTTAAATCATTGCCACTTTTAGGAAGATAGACTACGTTAAAATAGAAAGAAATATGTCTAATGTCTGGCACAGAGATCAGAGGCCTTAAGAGAAATGTTAGGATACCCAGTCACATAACTGCTCTGAAGACCTTATCTACTAAGAAAACAGAGCAGGTAAAGAAAGAGGCACAAATATTTCAAGTACCTGGGAAAGAGCTCACGGTAGGTCATGGGCAGGGTGTGAACAAAACTCAGAGCTGAGAGAGGTCTGTTGCTGCTCCAGGGTATGAGAGCTGAAGTTAAGACAGAGTCATGGCACCAACTCTATCTTGTTTGGCACAATGTTATCTACTCAACAGCTCAAATCTTCACAAAGTCTTCAATTAACATTTTTATTCTGGTTAATGTCTAATGCACAGAAACACCTATTTAAAACAACAGTAACAACAACAACAACAAAAGATAATCTCTACTCAGTCCTAGTAACACTCCTTTATTTTTCCTCTCTGTAAAGGAAGAACAAGAAACCAGAGATGCATGCTTCCTTGAAAGGCCATAGTGAGCTGTTTTCTGGAACTGAGCTTTTACCCAGAGTCGTTTACCCTTTTGCTGTGTTGAAATTAAGTGTGCTGTCTTACTATCAACAGAGAATATGTCATAGAAGCAAATATTTTATTTTTTGTTTCTCGAGTCCAAATAGCTGCAGCCTGCACTTGATGCCCGTGTGTAGATATAAACTGGTAAGGTTTTCCAGTTCTACAGTATGTTTAAAACAAATACTGGGCAGGGCAAAAATTAATCATGAGAAAAGGAACAAAGTACTGTGCCATAATCCCACATTGTTAGTGAAATGCACACACAGCCACAACGTAGTACTTTGTCTTGGCCACCTTGATGGAAATGTTGAAACCTTGTAAGTGAATTGTGCCTAGCACTCACCAGTAGATGTGAGAACACCAACCCTAGCATACAGAGTTAAAAATTTAATCTAGAAAAATACTAAACCAATTTGACATCTACAAATTGAGTGGAATTGTTCAGCTATGGTAATTTATATACATATACTGCTGTTCCTAGGGTGCTGTTTCAAGACAAAGCCCACTTCCATTTAACAACTTGGAGAAAGAGACTTAAGAACATCTACAGTGTTTTTCTGGCACTCTTTCTCACCCTCTGTCTGTTACATTCTATAACCAATTCATTGCTATAAAAACAACAGAAGTGTACGCATCTTCAGATGCTCCCCAGCAGAACAGACCTTTTATCATCTACCCACCTAGCAGGCAAAGTAATGTATGCATATGTATTTTAATCAGACTGCATTGTTATAACATTCTTTCATTCCAAAGAAATGGAAATGTAGAGAATTATTGCTGCTGGTGCTCATAGCAATGCTTCTGTGTT